TCAAATACTGTCACATTATTACTTCTAGGTCAAAAGTGTTCTAAAAATTTCACAGTGTAATAAATACGCTGTGCCGGGGAGACGTTTGGTAGGTAAGAGAGCTTGTTGAGTAAGATGTAGACCTGCGTTCAGAGTCCCAGAACCCACGTAAAGCCTGGCTGCGTCTAGAAGTTCCTGCAACACCAGGCACGGGTGCAGGAGACAGAAGACAAAGGGAGCATTCAGGCCCCTCAGCCAACCTGGTAAACTCCAGGCTCAGTAAGAGACCCTGTCTCAAGCAAACAAAATGGACATGGAGCATGATGGGGCATGGTAGAGCAAACCACACTGTGTCTTCCAGCTTCTGTAAGCATGTAACAATGCACACGTGTGCAAATATGCCTTCAATAGGCACATCCAAATCCCATGTGCAATTTTTTTAATCACTAGACACCATAGGCGTATTCTGGAGCATTTGTCTTCCCTTAGAAAAGGAATTGTGCGTCCCGTGCTCTTGAGAGTATCAGAAGTAAAATAACAGTCACACTTTTTAGCTGATAGACAGAAAGAGGAGCCTAGCTCTGCAGACACCACTGGCATTTGAGACAGCTGTGAAGGGAGGCAGTAAGGCTCTGATACACTGTCAGCCTTTGTCCACTGGTCAGCCCTCCTAGGAAAAGTCATCGTCCATGATCGCAGTAGGGAAACTGTTTAGTGAATAAAGAGCTGAGTGAGAAGTTGTTAAATGAGGAGACGGTCACCAGGTATTTTGAAGTGTGTTGTTGTTGTTAAAAATGAAGCCCAGGGCATAGTGCATGCTAGGCAAATGTTCTACCACTGAATTTCACCTCTAATTAAGAACAATTATTTTACACCTTACTTGTATAGACAAAACCATCCTAAATCACTGTTATGAATCCCCATTGCTATTATCTTATTAGAATCCTGAATTATTGAAGCTTAAGATAGAGTCCACTAACTCATTCTATTCTTACAGTGTATACAGACCGTTGTTAAGACACCTTCCCACTAACTCATTCTATTCTTATGGTGTATACAGACTGTTGGTAAGACACCTTTCCAAGTTCCCAGTACAGACCATTTATATGTGTGTGTGTGTACATATGTGTGTATGTATGCATATATGTGTGTATATATGTATATATCTATATATACCACAAAGTGGGTGTAGAGGACTGTAACGAGGTCACTTCAAAGGGACAGGATTGTCCGGTCTCACAAGCTCTAATCACCCAAGGCTTCTTCTCAAGACAAAGTCCCTCACTAAGGAGAACTCTGCCTGAAACAGGAAGGGGGAAATGAAAGAGGCTATCTAGTTAGAAACATGGGGCCACAGAGCTGGGGGCTAGCTAGTACTTGTAACTCTGGCTCGGCTGTAAAGTTCTTGTCATATGTAGAGAGAGAATATATATAGTCTTGCAATTATATAAACCATATAAGCACTCATGAAGTACTTTGATCTCCTATACTAATAATTATACGACATGATATTGTCCAGAAAATATCACGATAGTCTCCCCCATGAAAACCTGCTTACTATATATACTCTTAGATATAAGTGACATTGAGAAAACACCTTTCCTGGGCACACCCTCGTGTGTGAGATCATTAGCACGTGCATGAAGAGATTTGCCCAGGTCTTCTGGCTTGTTTCCATGAGACGAGAAAAGTAACAAAACAGATGAGAGGCCCTGATCACATTCAATCTGTATCCACAACCTACACCTTCTAAATTAACTAAGCCAGTCACTGAGCTACCCAGCATTCCTACTTATTCATGTGTAAGGTGATGAAATTGAACATAAGTGTGACAGATTTTTTTATACTCCCATCATGCACGCACACACACACACACACACACACACACACACACACACACACATGCCTATGCCTCATTATAATAGATTCCCTCCGTCCCAATCTTCTAAAAGAAGTATATCACACACAAGCTTAACTCCTCTTTGTCTCTAATACCAACCAAGCAATCTGCCCGAAAATTCTACAATTTCTACCTTTCAGTCCATTCCGATTTAGCTGCTGATCCTACCTCCGGCCACCTCCCTGGCTCAGACCAATGTCATCACTCACGTTGACTGCCAGAAAAAGCTCAGGCACGCATCTCTGCTTCCTGCATCCCATGTGCCCTTTACAGCCTGTTTTGAGTGTATCAGTCAGATAGAGGCCTTTAAGACATCAGTCAAGTCGTACCACTGCTCTGTTCAGAGCTCTCCAAGGGTTCTGGTATCTTTTAGAGAAACAGCCAGAGTCTTCACAGCAGCCACCAGACACCCAAACACCCAGGATCCCCGTGACTTTCTGCCTTCACTGTCTGTCATGTTCCCTGGCTCACTCGACCTCAGTCCCACTGCTCTCGCCAGCATTCCTCAAACCAGCAGAGTGTATGTGTCCTCAGGACCTTTGTACCAACCGCCCTTCTGTCTGCAGAACTCCTCCCCCAAGGAGCCACAGGCTTGCTTTCATACCTCCTTCAGATATCTGCTTGAGTGCAACTAGTCTATCCAGCTTTTTCCCAACCACAGCTCATCATCACCATGATGCTCTTCTCCAGAGCCAAACTTCCCAACCACAGCTCATCATTTTCCCAACCACAGCTCATCACTGTGATGATGCTCTTCTCTGGAGCCAATCTTTTCTTTCCTGGTCTCCACACTCCTCACCCCTCCAAATGCTGTGCTTGCTCATCTCCTGGTGTGTTGTGTGATTCTCTCACAGACAAGGGCAGAGCTGTGGGCATTGTTCAATGCTCTGTCCTCAAATTGGACTCACAGGAGTGTCTGATGGATATAGGGCAGACTCCTGGCAAAGGTTGCAAGAATCGGTTAATAACTTAACAAATACATTTAACTGATCTGAGCCTAGAAGCTGAAATGAACCGATAATGTCAGAATAGTAACTTAGAAGTACTGTGTTCCTGTGAATTGCAGATTTCCTCCATCAGCTGAGGACAGCACTACCGGGAACTGAGCTCAGACAAGAAGTTAGGAGTACAATGTTTTAGATGTTGTAGCTGTCCAATACCCAGTACAATAACCAGCACCAAGCTCTGGTTAGTTTTGGTCAACATGGCACAAACCAGAGTCACCTAAGAAGTGGGAGACTGTGGGTGTGTCTGTGGTACATTTCTTAAATTGCTAATTGATGTAGGAGTGCCCAGCCCACTGTGAGGGGTGCCATCCCTAGGCAGGTGGGCCTGGGCTATATATGGAAAGTTGCTGGACAAGCCAGTGAGCACCATGGGTCTCCACTTCGGCTCCTGCCTCCAGGCTCCGGCCTGAGTCTGGCTTCCCTAGATGACGGGCAACTGTGAGCCAAATAAACCCTTTTTCTCCACAAGTCGCTTTCAGTCTGTGTTCTATCATGGCAGCAGAGAAGCAGACCACAATCAGCCTAGAACTCTGACAGAAGGGGCCTCAGGATCTGGTACCCATAAAGGGTACTAATAAACATCCTAAGAGAAGAAGGATCCCAGTTGTCCCCACCCAAACCCAGACAAGGAGGAAACCCCGAAGGCACAGGTGGGCTCGTAGTGGCCGCAGAGGTGAAGGAGGGAACCCAATAAACCTACTCACCCACTCTTCTGCTGCAAAGGGGGCTCATGACATAAGTGAGAGTGGGTGTCACCTGGGCCTTCCAGATTAAACCCAAAACCAGGAGCCCAGCAGGGAGGGGACATTTCACCCATCTCCAGACAGCCAGACTAAAGTGTCCTCAGGGCTACAGGATGACAGGGAGAAGGGAATAAAGGTTTTCAGGATCCACCCTGCCCTGAGGGTATCTCTCTAACCACAGTGGTGAGCCAGAAGGCTGTCCCGAGCTAGAAAAAGGACTTGGTGCTATAGACCTAGGGCTTTGCCTGGCTGCGGGAGAAGGGAAAGGACATCTTCAGAAGTCTCACTCCCATATAAAAGTGTTTTCTTAAGCACATGCATGTACACGTGCACACACATAGAGACCCGTGCTTTCTGATGGAGCCCTATCCCTATGGTTGCTCTCTCCCTACCCCAGGCCCCTTACCCTTCTGTCTTCCTCTCATACCTGTTTGCACCTTCCTCCTAGTCCAGGGAAAGTCTCCTTTCTGTCCTGTTCAGGAAGCTTGGGCAGCACCTCGGGCTGGCCCGAGTTCTCCCCTGCAGATCTGGAGGCTGCTGAGGATGAGGATGGGGTTTGAATTGGAGTTAGAGAATCCATAATGTTTGTGGGGCTGGGGGTAATGGGGTGTGTGTCATGGCACTCAGCCTCCTGTGTTGTATTTAGTGAAGCTAGTGGAAAAGAAACTCAGCAGAATGACAGGAGATGCTTTGGTGAAGATAGTCCTCTTCTTTAAGTCACTGTCAACTTATAGGTGGTCAGCAACTGTGAGGTGTGTTATATAAATGATTATAAAGCCTCATCCAATCTCAAATAGATGCATATATACCACATTTAAGACAGATAATGTCCATCATTTAATATAGGCATATTTCCTAGAAGTTATATGAAATACAATCTATGGGCACAATGTCACAGAACACTAAATTTGTGGGGGAAATCAGTTTTCTAAAGAAAAAAGTAAGATAAAGAGTTTTTCCCTGGGATTTCTCTTGTACCCCAGGCTGGTCCCAAAGTCCCAGTCCTCTAGTGTCTGCCTTGCAAGTGCTGGGATCACAGCCATTTGACACCATACCTGGCTACAAACTAGTTCATCTTGGTTTTGAGTTTGGAAAAGTTTCTCTGTGCTGGTTCATACCTTTACCCCATACCTTCATCCTGACACTCCCTTACCCCCACCATACACCCCCACCATACACTCCACCGTACACCCCCACCATACACCCCCACCGTGCACTCCCACCGTACACTCCCAAATACCTGTGTCCTCTACTGAACCCAGTCAAGAACGCAGTCCCAGAATTCCTCATCTGGGCGCTTAGGCAGAAACAACTCACTTGAGGTGGCTCTGGGTCACATGCGCAGCTCACCTTGCCTTCCACTTCTCCCAGTACAACAGGTACCAGCAGTATGGCGCGGAGGAGTGTGTACTGCAGATGGGGGGCGTGCTGTGCCCCCGTCCTGGCTGCGGAGCTGGGCTACTGCCTGAGCAGGGCCAGAGGAAAGTCACCTGTGAAGGGGGCAACGGCCTGGGCTGCGGGGTGAGTACTGACCACACCCAGAGGAGCCTGGGAGTGTGCTCCTTTGCTTATGTAGATGTGCTAAGATTGTCTGCATTTTCCTTTGGGGCTCATATATATTTGAACTGATGTACAGAAAAACAATTTTTTCATTCCTGTGTAGGAATTGGGGTGTGTATTCTAAAATGTGCTGAACCCCCATGCCAGGCATTTACACTTCCCTTGCCATGTCCACCTAAAGTGGGGGGGAGAGAAAGTCTCCCCAGTTGCATAAAGTAAAAGTGAAGGAGGAAGGGAGTTTCCCATCCAGGCTGTTTAGGGACCCCATTTGTCTCAGCGTTTCCAGAAATAAGATGAAGATTGTACAGAAAAATTCCAAGTGCAACTGTGGTGTAAAACACTTGGAAATGAGATAAACAACACTGAGGGCGCCGTAAGGGAAGCAGAATGAGGAACAGAAAACGTTCTGAGAGGTCAAAGCAGACAAGTTGAGCAGATCCCACACTTGCCTGTGTCTGTCGTGGGTTAGGGAAGCCATTCTAGTCCCCAAACGCCCACTACATTGCAGGTTCAAGAACAAATGGATACTAATGCTGACATTAAATCTCCAGCAGACTAGATAAGAAAAAAACATGTGTGCTGTCTTATAAGATGCTGTTGAATTTTGGTGGGAAACATTTCTGGTAGAATTGCAGAGTTGGGAAGAGCTTTCTGGAAGAGGGTGTGGTTAGCAGAGTCCCGGCACTCAGGGGCACCCAGGCCTGACTTCCGGTTAAGTCATTTGTTCACGTGTTGGCAGCATCTGTTGCTCTAAGTGACGCTCACGGTGGGTTCCCTGCTGCAGCTCACAAACCAGGGCTGTGCAACTGAGGAAGCAGATATTGAGATAAGGGGTCATGGTACCCAACAGGACAACAGACACGCAGAAGGTTCCCCTGGGTTAATAACCATAGCTACGTGAGAATAACAGCAAGTCAAGTGTGCTGTCATCATGTGAATCAAAGTGTGTAAATCAAGTCACGCGCCAGCCTTAGCCTCTGTCACCACTGTGGAGTCTACACTGATTGAGAATGGCCTAAGCTGGCTGCCACAGTTAGGGATCAGAATCTTGTCAAATATTTCCTTTTCAAGTGAGTTACAATCATTTTCGACTGATGGCCAACTTTGTATGTCTGCCGTTGTCCTAATGTTGTCCCATCTATAAAGCTGGATTTTAATATTTTTCATGGGGTGACAATTTCTTTGGCTGGATTTTTACATTGTCTTTTACTTTCCTTTGAGAATTTTGAAGGATTTTAGTCATTTTCTATTTTGGGGACATTCATGTTGTATTTGGGTATTTAAGTTGGGTTTTTTCCTTTTTTTATATACAGTGTGATGTCATGAGTAGCCTATGTATTTAAACTCTTAAACTTGAGGGATTGTTTTCTAAAATTTTTATTAAACTTATTTAATTATTGGGTGGATGCATGTATGGGAATCTGGGGACAAATTGTGGGAGTCAGTTTTCTCCTTCAACTGTGGGTTCTGGGCAGCCGGGGATGAGGCTGGGTGGCTAGTACCTTTCCCTACTGAACTATATCACTGGCCCAGGAAATTGCTTTAGAGATTGTTTGAATGACTTGAACATCTTTGAGTTTGGGGACAGGAAAACTTTCCCTCCATGAAAGCAACTGCATTTGAACTTTGAAATTCTGGGTGATATGAGTTTTATTTTAATTTTATTTGTTCTGTTTCATTGTTTGCAGGGATAGAATTGTTGGATTGTATTCATTAGCTAGTGTTGTATAACTGTTAGTGCCAATTCCCTTCATTTCTTATGACATTTATTATGTCCCAGAATTCCACAGGATTAGGAGTCACCAGTGAAAGGCTTGGCTTCTCCTTCAGGGTGTCCCATGAGGTTGCAGTCCAGATGGGGAGATCCATCCGAGAGCCTGACTAGAGCAGGGAGCTCTGTCTGTAGGATGGCTCCTCCATTCATGTGTCTGGAGGCACAAAATCTCAGTTCCTCCTTGGCTGTTGCCAAAAGGCATGGCCTCTCATCACAGGGCCCTGCCCTTGGCTATTTGTCTCCAAGATGGCAGCTAGCTTTTCTCTGAGTGTGTGACCCAAATAAGAAAGCAAAGAGGGACTCTTAGCACCTGTGGGATCTACTACTCTACATCATTTATGTTGCTTTCACTTGAGTCTACCCATGAGATCCATCGTACCCACAAAAGATCCATCCTACCCTCAGGAAAGAAACTATCAAAGAACTCATGAGTGTATTTTAAACTACTGTCACTTGCAATTTGAAGTTGAAAAGAGAACAAAGGAAAAATGAGTTTACAAAGGCCGCTTCTGACCTTGCCCTCCTCCCTTTCCCTCCCCACTCCTCTCTTCTTCCCACTGCCTGATGGCTGTAGTCTTTCCATTCTCTCCAGCTTCCGTTGGTTCCCATAGCTCTAGCTTCTTAGCAGACACAGATTGGCGTCATCTTCCCCCTTTGCTTCAGATCTCCAGCTTTCACAGAAAGGCAACAACCAAGCTGAAGTGACCTCTGAAACTGTAAGCAAGCCCCCAATTTTGAATGCTTTCTTTTATGAATTGGCTTGGTAAAGCTGTCTCTTCACAACAAAAGAACAGTAACAAAGGGGAAGTCACCAAAGGCTTCATCAGTGTTCATTGAACACTTACCTAACCAACTTGGTATTCAAGGATACAGAACATTCATTTGGTCCAGTCTTCCACATAGTGTAGAATCTACCCTGAGTAAAGCCCTATCTACATCCTAGACCCAATATTTTAGCCTTGAAAAGGTTTCTTTTCCTCACTCTTGGGAGTGACATCATTTGTTTACATAAGTTGTAAATTGAGTAGGGATGCATCACAATATCCCACAGCCCCATTTTCACAGTCGCACCCCTTGTGCTTTGAGCTCCAGGCTAGAGACGGTGTTAATGGGCTAGTCATTTGACCGCCAGTATGTGCCTGGACCAATGTGCCTATGGCTGACTACTACTGTGTAGTTCTCATCTGAAGAAACTAGACTTGGGGTTTCTGATTGACTTCTGTTTCTCCAACACAGGTGGTAAGATTCGTATGTAGGACTCTGTTGCTCAAACACATATCGTGTCCATTGGAAAATGAGATTCCCGAACCCTTGCTGCCTTCTGTCACTGAGCTCACCAGATGCCAGGTAGCAGTGGGCTTTACCTAGGACAGTGCGGAAAGGTTTTCTGTTCCTGTGATCACTGTTTTCATCAGTTTAACAGCTTCAGCTGACCTTCCTTTTAGGCCAGAGACCCAGCAGAGAACATCTCTCCATCCATCCAAACCCAAAAAGACCTTGAAACTCCAAGTTCTTCTCTACTCTTCCCTGTGTGTCTCTCTATCCATCTTTTTGGCTTCTCAGTACTCTCTATGGCTAATTCCTGTCAATTAGTAGCTGGCTCCACCCCCTGATTCAAGTCTCGGGTTTCACAATGCTATCAAACAACCTGGAAGATGTCACGGCCCAGGTCTATCTGGTGGTAGCCTGGCAGGTCAGTGATGGTCATGGCAGATTCATTACTAGGGTAAAGAATGATTTCAGAGAAGGTATCACTTCCTGGGACTCAAGTTGAAATGTTACACTGTTTATTTGGCTCTGTATTCCTGTCCTGAGACTACATTTTTCTCCACAGTAAGATCAGGTGTCTGAGGTTCTAGATGCACGGAGTAAATGAGTGCGTGGCTCAATAATGCAGAAGCAATAGGAATAAACTGCGATTGTTTTCCACTCGTCTACCCCAGTGTTAGAATTGCGTACGTAGCCGCCCAGAGATCTCTTCAGACAGTGGGTAAATGTATTCATGTGATTTCGTAACACAGTGTTTTAGCAGCACTTCTAGGACATAATGTCGTGTGTAGAGATTAATGGCAAGTCTATCAGGAATGGGGAAGTACTGAGGAAATCCCCTCTCAGAGGCTCCCTTCCCAGCCCACCGGAGCTCGTGCACACTGACATGTGAAATCTCTTACTCTTGGGAGCACCGAGATTTTAGTTTCCACTAAACACAGAAGCGTTTGACTTTGCTAAAACTCAACACAGTGTATATCTGGAGATCAAATAACATGACTTTACTCACATGTAAGCCTTTGGTTGTATCTTGACTCTGACTCATAAAAGCATTAATTGATATCCAGAGGAAATCCTGTGATGCATTGTTCTTTCCTGGGGCCTTCTTACACTGTATCTGAATGACCTCACTAACTTTTATGACTCCGATGTGAAGTGTTGACATGTTTAATACTGGAAAATAGTGACAAAATATGAAATACATTGTAGCCACTGACCTAGAATGAAGGAACCTTAGCTGTGAGAGTGAATCAGTAAGATTACTGGCGAGAATCAGTAAGTCAAACGCCTTTGCCTTATTTGGAGTTATCTTGGACTGGACTATATCTTAGAGATTTTTTTAAAAAAATTAATACTTGAATTTGAAAGAATGGTGTTCTGTTTTAAATTAGAAATCAAGGAACAAGATTTAATAACAACTAGAAAGATCAAACACTAACAAGAAGCCTTTAAAGTCACATTCCGCTAGGGAAAGAAGAAGGACTTTCGTTAGGCACTCAACAGTCCCTGCTTCCTGAACAAATGTGCCTGCGTGGCAAAGATCTGGGTTTCAGGGGAGCAGTGGAGGGTGTGCCTCGGACCCTCACCTACACAGGCCCCTCTTGGACACTTCTAACCAGGAGCACCTTCTTACACTGCTTCCCTCAGATGGGGTCTTAGCAATGTGTACGCTCAAATTATAAAGGCCGCACCAAACCTAGCTTCATAAAAACATAGAGTTCGCTGATGTTGTATCTGTGTTGAAAACGGTGACTTTGAGCTACTCAGTGCTAGTCACACTGTGCTATTGGGGATTTTAGGGAGATGAGAGAGGCACCCCCATTTTCAGTCTTTATATAGGAAAAGAGTCAGGGAAGATGCAAAGATTTAAATTATGTTTGCATTAAAACTTAAATTAGCCAATAAGATAGAAAGCCTT